GATCATGAGCCATCACTTTGCATAAAGGGTGGGCCAGAGGGGGGGCCAGAACACGAGGTGAGTGTGTAGTTAGGGATCGTGGACACCATGCACATGATCCTATAGATGGTGAAGTGTCTCAAGAGATGTCAGACCCTCCTGATGGACAGCAACCCAACCGACAGAGGAGGCCGCCATCATATGGGACGTAGTCCATTTTTGTTATCTTTAGTTTGTTTTTGTTATGATGTTGTATATACCAAAGTTTTATCATATTTAGTTTTATTTTAGTTACATTACTCCAACGTCAAATAGAAATCCAATATTGTTTGCAACAAATTTAAACCAACTTCAACACAATTTACTTAATGTCAATGAGCAACCCTAACTTTGCAACAACACATTTAATAGAAACATAAAAAATCAACATAATGTAAACAGAACAATGATAATATTGTCCAGATGTTACAATACAATAGTAACATAACACTTAGTTATGGTTCATGGGCCTTCATCTTCGTCGAACATCTCAATATAAAAAAAAATTCATTTTCCCCACTCAAGCAGAAGCTTAAACGTGCTTCTTCTATCAACCCTTCTTCAGCACGATCTCATGCAATGCAATGGAGGTTGTATCAATTGAAATAGATTGTCATGCGATTGTTCTCAACTCAAATACAAAACAATGTTTCGCTCCAATTCTTGAGGAGTTCAATTGGCATATCAATTACAATTTGTCAAGGCCTTCGTATATTGCAAGTGCACAAATTTTAGCTTAGATTTTCTCTTTTCCTCAAACAATATCATTGTGCTTGTAGCCCTACTTGAATAACGTGAATAAGGATTCAAAGGGTAGAAGAACTCATCATTTAACGTCCAATGATGACCCAAACTTTCAAACAACATTCGCAGACTATAATTCATAGTTAAAGATGAATTGTGTACAATGCGATGTTCCACAGATGTTGAATAAATAGTCACAATGAAACTGTTTTTGTTGTTGCAGTTGCATGGTTTTTTCAGTAAGCCATATGATGAAGTGACAAAACCCTAATTTAGTGGAACCATGTGTTGAAGTATGCTTCTGAATTACTCTGGCATGTTATTGTTTCAACTGACTCAACAATATTGCATGACATGACCACACACTGGCGATAACATCAATGTTGTATGAATATAAACTGTTGAGCTTTTTAGCAAATCATGTTCTGAAGTGACAAAACCCTGATTATTTATGAAAATTGATGCAACGAGGACATGTGCATCACACTCCTGAAGTGACTACGCATTATCGATATGGAATAACACTATTATGTAGTGATGAGGTGAGTGCATACCGGTAAAAAGACCTCATACTTGTTTCACTATAGACTGTTGACAATTTATGGCCTTATGAATCACTTTGGCACGGTACTTTTTCAATTGACATGACATGACTACACACTAGTGATTTGAGTCTTTTATCATTTGAATATAGACTGGTGAGCTTTTCTGCAACCCATGTTCTGAACACTATGTTATTAAGGACTATTGGCAAAGCTTGCCTTCTAACTATGTTGCACAACTTTTCAAAAAGTCATTTGATGAATTGACAAAACCCTAATAGTGTATGATCATTCATTGAAACCACAATATAAACACCTTATACATTGATATCGCATATATTGAACATTATGCCTACACCAAGAGGATCTACAGTCTATAACAATCACAGACGTCAACAGGTTTGATTGTTTAAAGAGCAAAACGATGATTATAAGATAGAGATTTCTAATCCAAAAGAGTATTATGCAGGACTATGATGAGAGTGGACGTTTTGTGCTAATAAATCACATGCATTATGCACATATCTAAGAGAACTTAGAATACCGGTGCCACATAGATATTCACTTACAATGCAACGAAGAAATAGAGAGGACTATGAATTAATAGTTAAACATGTTTGAAAAGAGAATAATAGGATGATGGTGCATAGGTGTCGATATTATATGCTCCAACTAGTAACAGACGTGAGGGAAACTACGTATGGAAGAAAGTTGAAACCTAGTGAGCGAACAATTGTCTTGTTTATTAAACAATACTTATCAGATGATTATATGTCTTATGAAGATTAATAGCTGTAATAAATGTCAAAATAAGTGTGAGGTACTCTCATATCTTTATAAGTTGTAATCAGTGTGAAGTAATCTCATAGCTTTATCAGGATGCCACTCCGTAGATGTTGTGTTGTTGTTGTTGTTGTCATTGTTAGTGTTTAGTTATCAATGTACTGTTAGTTTCAATGCTTAGTCAATAGTGTGTGGTCAATGTCAGTGTTTAGTCATCAATGTGTTGTCGGTGCAATAAGTGACTACCTATCTCAATGTTTCCAAACATTTTTTTTTTAATTATTGATCAATTCTAGCCATTACTTTTGTGTATATATTCACATTTGTTCACAATAGAAACCCTACACTAACACACCTATTAAGTCATCATTAGGGTCTTCCAGCGAAATAAACGATGGTTCGTATTCGAGCAACCAAAGCCAACATCTTGCAAAGTTCCTCGTTATTCAGTTTACCAAAACATGGTAACTACACATATCCTAGTGATGTTATATGGTATGACAACTTGCGTGACTTTCACAATGAGCCAATACACATTCATTACCCTTTCACAGAAGTCGGCTCTGTGATAATTGACCTGCAACCATTATTCTACCTGGAGAGTTTTATTACCATCTACATGAGTCAAGGTGGTTGAAATCTTATTTCAAGCGCTGTGAGCTAGAAGTATATTGTCGTTGGCATTGATTATGAGTGCTACAAGCACGTTCAGCTAATATGTACATGGATTGGTGCACGAACAATTATGCTAATATCGTAGCAGGATTTCAACGTGAAAATGATCAAATGCAACAATATATGGATCGATTCCACTTTCTCAAAAAAGTAAAGATAGAGTATGCAGATCCTGGCGAGGCTATTAAGGCTATTAATGCAATAATGGGGAATCCATTATTGGCTTTTGACCATGAACTTTCTCACTTTGATGATTCAAGTGATTATGATTATGAAAAACTTGTCCGTTAGTATGTACGTGATAAATTACTATGTTGTTGGGAACATGTTCCTCATTAAAAAAATATATGTTGTTTTATGTCTCTCTGTTTAATGTTGTATGAATATGATCATTTGTATTTTTATTTTTCATAAATTAAATAACTATTATGTTATTAAAATTTGCATTAAAACCAATTGTAAAAATTTGTGTCAAATAACTTATACACACTCTGCATTTGAATAGTTTCCAAAAAATATCCAAACATTTTTTTAGATTTCACTTTTTTTGCAATCCTTAAAAATTAAGATTACAAGGTGTCACCTTGGAAAATATTAAGTTTGAGAAACAATAAAAAAATTGTCAATTATCATCACCAAAGACGCTAATTAGACTAACATTTTTTATATTAATTAAGATGTCAAACAAATTGACCGTTTTTCATTTCAGTTGCCCTAAATTTAATTTGAAAACGTTAGATCATATGACGTCTTTTACATAAAAACGTTGTCATTTTTATGTTAAAGACGTAAATTGGCATGACATTTTTAAACTAACTAAATTTAAAAATTACTTTCAAAACCACCCGGTTATGGGTAAATACTTTTCCAAACGACTTTTGTTTGGGTAAAAGCTCACTAGATCACAGAAACTTGTGTCATATACAACGGAATCAAAAAAGAAATCTTTGATCAGTTGATGTAGAGGACTTGAGTTGCAGGTAGCTTGGAGCAATCTTGCAGTTTTCCCCACCAATTGTGTCATCGCTGATGACAGTTCACCGGCAAATAGAGGTGGTTGGTCGTGGGAGATGAGGTGATTGACAGATGATGTGGGTGGCCATGAAAAAGACGAGGAAGTGGGTTTTGGTGGTTTTGTGTGTGTATGAGAGAGACAGAGAGAGAGAGAGAGAGAGAGAGAGAGAGGTAGGTTAGGGTATTTGTATCCCATTCACGTATGTGGCGCATGATTCACATTACCACTTAATTTTTGACAAAATGTAATGGGTGCAAATTTGCCAACAAACTGTGAGTATTATATGGCCATTTCAATATATCAAGGGATGGTATGCATAAAGGGTAAATCACAATGGGACAAGAAATTATGATTGGGAAAAATCTGAATTAGCTTTGCCATCAATTTTCGAAGCACCAAAATGCCTTATTATTACCACGGTGCACCATTAGACCTTTCTCTATTTTTGTTTTCTTTTTTCAGTAAGTAAAATTCATTAAAGCGCAGCAACAAATGTGAATTCAACCTATGCACGCAGATACCAAACAAAAAAAGACTCTTAAAAATCAAAAACAATTTGCCCGGGTACGTCCAGGTAGCTAAAGCAACGACCATGTTTCTTCAAACTAGTATAGAGCAAATTTCCAGAAAATGTCATTTTGATGAACCTAGAAATATCCAATTGTCATATTCTAGCATATCGAGGATTCATTCATATCAGGCAGAACCAGAGGAAGCCCAAAAAACTCTTCTGAATAGTTTGAGCCTGTCAACAACAGAACATTTCACTTGAGGTGAACTTTTTGTTCCAAATTCTATTGATACGCATGCTCCAAATTCACTCAGGCAAGAAATATGCATACCATATATCTTTATGTATTAGGCTCCACACATCAAGCAGTGCAAATCATTATGGTCATCATGTAGTTTTTTTTTTTTCCCTCTCATGTAGTTCAGTCAGCCGAATATTACAATGATAATTATCGACTGGAATTGCAAGTATTTTTTATTTGCTTTCATCTGAATTTTCAGTACAGGGGCCCATTTCTAGGACGATTGTCTATTTAACAAATTTACTTACTAAAATAGATGCCTATGTCATTATTATGATGGTGAGTAATCATCCCCATCTTGAAGATCGATATCCAAATGCAGTTTCTGCATTTTCACACAAAAATTCGACAAATTAAAAGCAATGTTGTAGCAGAAAATCTGAAATCTCATTCAATGAGTCCGTACCTTACTCAAGCCCTCCCATCCCACTCGTCATAGAACTCTTTCAGAAACTCCTCCATGAACTTGTGCCTACTCTCAGCCCTTCTCTGCCCAGCCTGACATTTTTGCCCATTCTCAGGCCTCAATATTGTGATAAAGAATTTTCAAATACATGATTTAGAAATATCAATTCAGATGGAATGCATTAATGCATAACTATACAATGTGGTAAATTATGCTCAAAGAAAAGGTTCATGATGCAAATGCTTGACGAATGAATGTCCCCGAATAATTGAAGTGCATGGCCAGAAGAATTTGAAACAACATATTGTGTTAACCTTGGTTTTCATTAAATCTTTCAACTTGAGAAGCTTTTCATGAAAATGATTCACTGTAGTCTGCTCATCTTTTTTCATGTATTGTTCCTTAGACAAGTCTGAGCGAGGCTGAATGGTGGGGTCATGAAGCACACTGTCCCTACTTCCACCAAAGGTGAAACAACGAGCAATTCCTGAAACCAAAATAACAGGACCCGTCGAGAATGAACAAGGACAAGAGGAAAAAACGAGGACCTTCCAAAAAAAATAATAACACGTGATTTTAAATGGTGATGTACAAAGCAGCATGGACTTAGTTATCCTGTATTACCCTTCACTTCCAACAGTAGGGAAAACATGCGCACAGTAGAGCTGGGGACCAGATATGGAGGTAATACAATACAACCAACCAACCAAACAAACAAACAAAACCCAAAAGATAAAGTGAGAATTATAATAAAAAGGTCTAAATTTGAAACCATCATGTCAAGGGGGTCCTCAATTCTAAGCACTGATTAGAACAATTTAAATTACCAATTGCACCAATTGCATCTAGACGATCAGCATCTTGCACAACCCCAAATTCCAGTGGAAAACTATAATTGACAGGCCTTCCAAGTTCATCTTTGAAACCTGAAATTGAAAGATAGAAAGAAGTCAAATTGGCATACACTCTACCGAATTAGGTCTTACAAATAAAAAGCTAGTAGTAACAGCTGAATAATTGTGATTCAATCACAGTAAAATTATTGTACAGTGCACCAAAAACATCCATAGCGAAAGGGAAATGCAATTAAGAAAACCCAAAAATTGACCGTTTGCGATCAATTCAATTTCCATTGAATATCGACCAACAATCCCGCGTACGTTGTGACAGTGAAATGAAAATTGATAGAGAAGAAGACTGCTGAAATATAGAAGTCACAGTTGTCAAAGAAGGATTGATTATTACCCAGGTTAGATCCTGTTAATCAAGATGGCTAGGACGAAATTTATCATTTGCTATTAATTGCAGGAAGTGGTTGTTCTCAAAATCAAACCCACAACCTCATGGTTGTTATGAGAAATTTTACAAGGAATACCATAATGTTATTAACTTATTGCCCAAAACACTTAGCATAATTGATACTGTTTTTCTTTTTTCTTTTGAAAAAGATAAAACAATAGAGTGGAGAAAAGGAGACTGAAGAAAGAGGAATTAAGCCCAGATCTATATATGAACATATTGCTTCATTTGATCACAATTGTATTAGCCTCAAATTTAAAAATATGTAGAGACAGTGGGATGAAATTGAGAAATAAATTCAAATGGAAAGGTAAGGACAAGAAAGTTTCTTAAATTAGCCTATATACCCAAATATTCATATCATATGTTTGAGCATTACTTTTAGATAGAAGGAAAAGATTGCAAGAAGGTAGGTAGGACGAAACTTCACCACGTGATCGGTGCTAAGCTTAGTTAAAACTGGATTCAGCTCAAAACAAGTCTGAAGCTAAAGTCAGAGTCACTTACGTAGTCCTATTCCAATTATTTTCTCCTCCCATTTACGGCTCTTGTTTGTTTCCATTGGAGTAAGCAACCTTAAAGTAGTGGCCTCCCCTTCCCCATAAATCCCTCACCCTCGATGACCCTCTCTACCAAGAGTTGGAACAGGAAGCATTGTCTTCTTGGTTATCCATGCTTTCCTGTTTTGAAGCATCAAGTTCCTACTCTAAGTTCAGTGTCCTCAGTATCCTCTGAAGCCCATCTGTTCAGCAAGTATCAATTAAGCCTCGCACTAATAGTGTGTCGAGCCACTTTGAGTAGATTCATTGTGATGTGCAGGGTCCATTAAAAATATTTCATCCAATAATTTTTTGTATTTTGTGACATTTTGTGGATGATTATTCTTGTATAACATGGTTAATTTTTTTTGAAAATTTGCACTGAATTGATTTCAATATTCCAAACATTTCTTTACAAAATTAGAACTCAAATTGGTTGTCGTATTCGTGTTTTTCGGCCTGATAATGGAATATGCTCTGACCCCATTGTGACTTATTTTCATGGAAATTGCTCATCAAACTCCGTATTTTCACACCCAACAACAGAAGAAGATGGCAAGTCACCATTAGTTGGAAGTAACTCGAGCACTTCTATTTCATATGCATGTTCTCACCCATTTTTTGAGTGATGAAATTCCTACTGCTTGTCATCTTGTCAATCATGTGACTTCTTTTGTGTTGCATGCACAATCTCCCCTTTTAGTTCTTCTAAACCAGCCACCCTTATTTCGTTCCTCCAAAGATTTTACTTGTGTTTGTTGTGCTCATAATCTGGGTCCCGACTTTGATAAATTTAACGCACGAGTTATAAAGTGTCTTCCTTGGTTATTCACGAACCCAAAAAAGTTAACACTATTACACTCCTATGCTTCGATATTATTTCTCCAGTGCCGATATCATATTTTGTGATTTTATACATACTTCCCGGTGGCCACCTCCCCTCTTGATCAAGACTTTGGGAACATTGACTTCACCCCCTCTTCCATTGCCATTTCCCAAGCTTATCACCTCATCCAACTTCACCCTCACCATTCTCTGCGGCTCCATCAAAAGTGTACTCGTCATACAAGTTATCACTATTTGTAATTTTATTTCACATAATGCCCTATCCCATGTTTTCTTCAGTTTTATATCTTAGCTATCTACTATCTCTTTTCTTAAGACAGTACATAAAGTGTTATCTGATTCTGGTCAGGTTGGAGGAAAGCTATGGAGGTGGAGGTGGAGGTGGAGATGGAGATAGATGTTTTACATTATAACAAGAACTGTGATCTCATTCAGTTACACTTGGTATACAACTTTTCAGTTGTTAGAGGATTTATTCTATACACGGTTCGATTGAACACCTAAAATTTCACCTTGTTACTAAGGGTTTTATCCAAGCCTATGGCATTGATTATAATGAGATATTTTTTCCCGTTGCTAATATTTCTCTCTATTCGTATGTTGATTTGTATGGCTGCTAACCTTGATTGATCTTTGTTTCAGTTGGATGTTAAAAATGATTTTCTACAGAATAACTTGGCATAAGAAGTTTACATGGAACAACCACCTGGGTTTGTGGCTCAAGAAGAATATTGGGTTAATTTGTGTCGAGTAAAGAAGTCCCTTTGTGGTCTGAAACAGTCACTAAGAGACGGTTTGGTTAGTTTTCAGAGGCAATTTTAGAGTTTGGCCTCTCTAGGTGTCGGACCCAATTACTCTGTATTCTACCAACATACTAATGCACGTTATTTTATATTTCTTGTTCACGGTTTTGATATTTTGATTAGTGGTGATGATCTAAAAGTACTGCAGAGTTAAAAGTTTTTCTAGAACATTAATTTCAGATTAAAGACTTATACAAATTGAAATACTTTCTAGGTATCAAAGTTATCAAGTCTAAGAAGGTATTAGGTTGCCTTACGAAAAAATATGTGCTTAATATACCAAAAGAAATGTGTCGTGGAATGGGGAGAGATACGCAGTGGATCTTCCCTTACAATTATACATACAAGTTGCAAAACACTACCTCTTGAGGGAATGAATAGGTTAATTAAAATTTAAGCTCGGATGACCACTAATTTTAACATATATCAATCACAATTATCTTGTCACATAATGAAATGATCGTTAAATATGAGAACCCCTTTTTAACCACCACAACCCAAAACACCCATATAGATTAATGTATTGATTTTATCAATTTGTTGATTAACACTCAATCTCACATGACGATCCCAACCAAGGCAACCCAAACTCAATCAAGCAAATATATGTGATATGTGGATTCAAACAATCAATTCATCAAACACAGTGTCCGTGTGTGCATCAAATCACAGTTGTTTATAAAAAAGCAATAAATAACACAAGTGATTTGTTAACGTGGAAGCCCTCCTCGAGAAAAACTAAAGGAAACCACTCGTGGTTCACCAAAACATAATTCACTATCCCAAGGTCAATTTACAAGCACTCAAGTCTTATACCTCAACCAATACCATGGTTACCTCAACCAATACCATGGTTAACCGTTCATTTCCTTTACTAAATCTCTCTGCCAAAACTTCCTATTCGACGACTTCAATAGCTTCACTTGAACTCCCCGTTGTATGGTTTATTTAAGCCTCGAGCACCTCTAGGACGCACTAAAGAATCTCGGTATGCACACTTGCAAAAGGGTTTGATTCAACCAAACAAAGTCTTCTTCTCCAATGTGTGAGTTTGGATAGGAATCACTAGATGATAACCTTTAGATTTAGGGATTTAGGGTTGTGGCTCAAGCTCTCAAGGTATTAGATAGGTTGAATGTACTCCCACAAGGCTTATCCTAAGCTGGGAAGACATTCCCCTATTTATAGGCTCGGAATAGGATTTGTCTTGTGGACCAAGAAAATACAAATTAGCGAACGATTGCTCATTCGGTGAGAGGACAGTCAAAGGGCCGTGATCATTGGAATGAAAAAAAAATTCAAACCGTACCTAAGAGAGCTGGACTGCTTGGGTGGCCCAAAGGGCAACCCCTATGTTTGTCTACTTTTGCCTGAAATTTCTCTTAAGTCTTTAGAGATCGCTCTAACGAAAGCTAGTGAACATAAGGCGATCCCTACTAGTTTTTTAAGCCTAAAATTAAGTAAAAAAAACTAATCCTCTTGAACACTAAAGAGTTTGCTTAAGAAGGGTCTACCTATGGCTCAAACTATATTTTCAAAACACAAAAAAAATTTAGAAAAACTGTTCTTAAGAGAATACCTAAGACCCATCCACGAATCAATTTACTAATTCCATTTTAATACTAATCATCTTAAGTCTAATAAATTAAATCAAGAGTTCTGAAGTCTCTAAGGTCATTACCTTTGTCCATAGCATGGAGGTGCATACGGAGAATTCATTTGATGTAGCTTGAAGTATGAACTCCTCCTTTATTTGACTCTTTTGGATCTTCATCGTAGTAGCATCATGATAGCGAAATAGGTTGAAATTTACAAGGACTTCATGAAATTAGTCAATTACAAAACATAATCAAATACATAGATACCCCTATCATCCCACAAATTAGGGTCGCGCAACCCAAAACGAGGTGGATTTGCGATCCAAATAGTTTAAATTCTCGAACCCAAATTGTAACTCAAATCCTAAAATAAATATTAGTTAACTATGTGTAAATGAATGTATAATTATATATAATCTCATTTAATAGACAAAATGATCCTATAAAAAATGAATCACGACCCAAAACAACGCACCAACTAAGCCTATCCCATTGCACTACGTATCGCAAGATGTACCGTACCGTATACTAAATCAACCCACGATATAAGTAACTTTATAAACCAGTTGATGTTCCAATGGATCCAAATCAAAAAGTTTTGGTGGATGATAATGCCCTATTTGAAAATATGGACACATATTGCAAATTGGTTGGGAAGTTGATGTAATCTTACTATTAATCGGCAAGACATTGCATTTGCACTAAGCGTTGTAAGTCAATTCATGGGAGCACTAAGAGTACCACATTGGGATGTTATTGTTTGTATTCTTAGATATCTTAGGTGAGCTCCTAAACTTAGATTGTTGTATCAACCAAATGAGCATCTTAGGGTGGATGGTTTTACAGATGCTAACTGAAATGGATTTCCATCTCATTGAAGGTCGACTACTAGCTATTGTACTTTGTTGGAGGGTAATTTGGTGGAAGAGTAAGAAATAAATGGTGGTACAACGACCTAGTGCAAAAGTTGAGTATAGAGCAAAGACACATACTACGAGACAATTAACTTGGTTACAGTACTTTCTTCAAAAGATCGACTTCCCGGCTTAACATACTCTAGAGTTGTTTTGTCATAATTAGGCAATAGTTCATTTTGTTGCTTACGTAGTATTTCATCATAGGACCAAGCTCATAGAGCTTGACTGTCACTTGGTTCAGGATAAAATATTAAGTACAAATATTGTGACGTCATTTGTAAAGTATAAGGGTCAACTTGTAGATATGTTTATGAAAGCATTGAGTCACACTCGTTTGATAGCTTAATATTATTTAAGGTGCAAGACGCACCGAAGCGCCAAGGTCTCCAGGGGTCTAAGCTAAGGTCATTAGAAGCATGCCTACGCGATAGCCTAGGCAAAAAATGAGCTTAGGCAAGCTCAGGTCACCAGGAGTGTCACAGGAAAAGCGATTTTTGCCGAAGCGAAGATTAAGCGTCCAAGGCAAATGTTTCTCACTTAAGCGAGAAGCGAAAAAGCGAACCCTTTAATAAATTTTTTATTTTGATTTTTGGACCTATTATGGGTCATTAGATTTGATCAATTGGATCAAAAATTGGACATGCCAAAACAGCCTATTGCCACTCGGATCCATATATACGTCTAACCCTAAAATTTTTGCAACAAAATTGATTGAGAATTAAGGGTCGTAATGGTTGAAGTCGCAACCTAAGGACCTAATTCACCTAGGTTTTTTCTTGTTTTCCTTCTCCAATTCTTCTAATTCTTTTTCTTCTTCTTCACAAACGAGTTGCTGTTACTTCTAGAAAAACGATCTACG